TTACTCAAGAGTAAGTATGTTATTGTTTAACTAAACATATTATTGGGCTAACAAATAAATAGAGATTATACTGTAGCCTATGAAAAATTATTGCAAACACTTAGATAACGGAAGATGATTATCAATCGATCTTCATACGCATCCAGCGATTCAAAGTTAAGCGGTAACCTTTTTTCCACACTTATACTTGTTACTATTTATGTCATATCTTGTGTCACAGTTACCTTATTTTGGGGATGGCGTCAATACATTAAATATTTTTTTTNTAATTATCGATCGATCTTCATACGCATCCAGCGATTCAAAGTTAAGCGGTAACATTTTTTCCACACTTATACTGGTTACTATTTATGTCATATCTTGTGTCACAGTTACCTTATTTTGGGGATGGCGTCAATACATTAAATATTTTTTCCCCAAAATACTCTCTGTTGAAATAGATTGCCGTAAAAAACTTAAATTTTTTCATTATAGAATAGTTTTTTTTGATAAGTTAATTAAATTTCTGTTTTATTCTATTGATACAGTCTATATTAAATTTATAATAGCATTAAATAAAAAGCTGGCATGGGCTTTTACTCGACTTTCTCGGAACCCGAACAGGAGGTTAAAACCATAAGGAAGCCCAATAATTGTCAATTATGTTGGGATATAAAATTTAAATAAACAAAAACATAAAAGAAATAATTTTGTTGAATTATGATTATAAAATATTTTCATGTAAAAAATATTTAAACACTATGACATCAGCTGAAAGTTATTTTTTAATACCATCTCATATTATTATTACAAAAACGGCAAAAAAGACTTAATTTTGAGGGTAGAGATGAAATTTTTTAAATATTGTACATGCCAGTAACGAGTACAGTTTTTCAATTTTTTCACCTCTTTTCTCTGGTTTCCAATTTAATTATATTAAATCTATTTAAGAAGATTAAGAGTAATTACTCTCAACTTTTTATAATTACCAAAAAGTTAGGTATTTAATTCTAAAATTATACTAAAAATTTATAAATTTGATAAAATTCTTAGTTATCTCTTGTAGTTTCCCGACTCTTCGTCCGAGTTGAAACGCTAAAATCGATAAAGTAGTATTAAAAAGACTTTAAAACCATTACTGTTTGTTATTTTCTTTATTTTTCTCATATGCATTTTGTTCTTCCGATCCTCATCAATAAATTCATAGGACAAAGTTTAGCCTATAAACAAATAAATATCTCAGAAAACCGAAAATTACAAAAAGCAACAATATTTTTTTATTTTTTGAAAATTTACAACTGCTGTTCTACAACATACTGTACTGTATTTCCATGACAATCCATCTACAATCGTATACACCATTCTGGTGACATATCCGTCCGTATTTGAATTTAGTAAATTTATATTTTAATTTTTTAATTTTTTTCACGATTGCAAAATGTTCTTCTTCCTTTTTTAATATTTTTCTCAAACGATATATAATAGAATATCTTAATGATCACTCGTAAAATAGGGGTCATTTAACTATTTTAAGAATATTACACCCCTCACCTCTTCAACATATAGGCCTAAAGCTATTCCGGTATAATTTCAATGAAAATTATGGTCAATAACACAAAAAATATTTATCCCAAAGAATTTCATTTAAAAAATAGTTTTTTTAAATGTATTTTCATCTTGGACCTAGAGTTGGGGGCTAAGGAAATATCGATTTCTTAAAACTATTTTATTAATATATACACATTGAAAAAGTTAGAACTGAATTGGTTTATTATATCAGAAGTTTTATAAATGATAAAAATCCGTTAATATTGAGAGTGGAGAGTGATTTCTGAGGAAAATTTTCGAAACAAATACATAAATTTATATTTTGTTAAACTAAAAATTTGTACGAGTAAAAAAAGTTTCATAATGTGGAAATTTTTTCAGATTTGGTTCCGACCCTCTTAATATCTCCCGTACCAATAGTCCGTTTTTCCTGAAAATTTCTATAAATATTTTTCTAATATACGAACTTCCCTGCAAACTTTCAAGGAAGTTCGTGTATTAGAACTTTCAGAACAGAAGTTATACAAGTTCAAATATGTACGAAAAAATCGTGCCTACCACATAGACACACACTAACATCCATATATATACAAAAAAAAAACCACAAGTTTTTAGTGTTTAAGATTCGGTTTAGCTGGTCGAAGCTAAACCGGGTGAGGTTGGGGCTCTGTAAAGCGCATGTGCAAATGCGTATAATCTGGCTGTTTGGAAGCTGGCCCGGTTTCGATAATACAGCGCTTCCACTCCGCCATTGATATTCGAATATACAATAGCAATCTTATCGTTTTTTTTCACATGTAATACAGAAATTTTTAATAAGATACATATGCGGTTCTATTAAAATATTAATTTTAATTAACCCTATCTACGTTAAAATATGAAAATAATCGCGCAATATATATTTATTTTTTTAGAAAATACAAGGAAAGCGGCGCTTCCACCGCTTCCAATGACGGCACGCAACTGCTATCACGTATTTCTTAATCTATATATATATAATCGAGATGGGTTGATAATAATAATAATAATAACAATAATAAAGTACACAAAACTCGCCCAGGAAAAAAGGCATCTGTGGAGGATGGAAAGGGTACTTGTTGTACCTGTCGTTCTCTCATGTACAGGTGTGATACCACACACACTACACAAAAGACTGGGAACATTACAATTGAATAGAAATACATATATCACACTACAGAAGGCCACTATATTGAATACATGCCATATTGTTAGGAAATTCCTGAATACAGATACTGACACACTTATTTAATTTTAGTTTTGTTTTGGTTGCTATGCCTTGATTCTGGTCCGGCATAGTACACAGCCACTTGTATCAACCGAGTATAACTCACTAAACCCAACATAATAATAATAAGCGCAGAGTCCAAACAGTTAGGAGTTCAAAGTTGAAATTTGGTACACAGTTAAGGTACACTGTACGAAGCACACTAAGAAGGGATTTTTCGAAATTCTCTCGTGCGAGGAAGAAGGAGAGGGTTAAGGATTACCCTGAAGAACTTGGCTTCTACTGTACTATTTTAGATGCGGTATTTGCATTTTTGCGGAAAATAGAACATATTTTTAGACCCATCTAAAAATTTTGAATTAGCCTCGGAATAAGGAGACCTAATTCTTGCATCCGGTGAAAACGGGTTACATCGGCTAATAATCTAATAATCTTAATCTTTGCTATCATTACTTTTTGCCCGAGCAACGCCGGGCTCATCTGCTAATTTAATATAAATCTAATAAAAAACGATAAAAAATAATCACATTAGACATTAAAACAAAAAATATATGAAATAATAAATTTAAACAAAATATTGTTTTAAAATTTATAACTAGTAGATGAGCCCGGCATTGCTCGAAAAAAATAAAAACAGCAAAGATTAAGATTATTAGATTATTTCGTACTTCTATCCCTTCTATTATATTACATTATAGTATTTAATTTATATAACTACACAGGTTATCCTATATAAGGGTTTATTACACCGAGTGACCAATCTAACACATTTTAAAAATTCTTTAAACTGTGTACAGTAGAGAAATAAAGAATTTTTAAAATGTGTTAGATTGGTCACTCGGTGTAATAAACCTTTACGTAAAATAACCTTTCTTGTTATATAAATCAAATACTATAATATAACAAACATTAAAACGAAAACCATATAAAAGAGTTTGGTTATTTCAGCCTACCTTTGTCACGTTTATCGCAATACTCGGACGGTACGAATGAAATGTCACAATTTCATTGGTCAAGTAGACGCCAATTGAAAATACGATAACTTAAACTTTTCAGATATATTTTTTTCTAATGTTAACTCTAAGAAACTGTGCCATTCACAAGAGAACATCAAACAGTAATCTGCCAACCAGTGAAATTTCGCAAAAAACAGACAAAATATTTAAACTCGGCACCCTCGAAAACCGCTTAATACAAGTCTAGTGGTGGGGAGATAAATACTTTTATAACATATATATAATAGTTATAAAATTATTTTTTAAAATCGTATCTANCACTTTACAATAAATTAAAACAATTTTAATCATTTCACAAAGTGTTTCAATGATAAGTAATAATTAAAATGTTATTTTAAAATATTTTAAACTTTCCTTTACGTTCAATACATTACAGTCGACCCCCCTATAACGCGGGTTCATATAATGCGTATATCGCGGCGAAAAAATTGCGACCGTATTCGTATAAAGACGCTAAAACAGACTCATAAAATGCGGTAAAACGTCATCGCCGACTCGTGTCGCGACAGGATTGGTCGAATCTGGACCAATAGTGGACGAGCAGCGGAACTACTTACACACTACTGAGAGTTTAGGCAGGTAAGTTGAGTTTACTATCGTCTGTACAGTACAGTATATAAATTAGGTACTGTAAGTCTAATACAGTACTGTAATTTTACACATTTCTTGTGAAAAAACATTTCTTATTCAACGGCAATAAAAATTATTTCTATTAATGATGTCTCCAAAGTTCAACGAATTTTTCGCAGAAAAATAACTTATCAGAAAACGCGCCCGCCGTTTGGTGGGCTGCTCCGCGACGAAAACAAGCTTAAGCACTGGCGTCGTCGAACGCTGCACACTCGGTAAGTAATCTTACAATTTTTTGTTTATAGCATAGTTTATACGGATTATTCCCAAAAAATTATACGTGTTTTGGAAACGTTGAGTCAAACTAGTCTAGAATCGATTAATTTTATGGAAGAAAACCTTCCAAACAGCCGTAGTCCGTAAACTGAACACGTACCGGGCTGTGATTGGCTCATATATTTAAGGATTCCTACAACGTGAAATTCTTATAAAGTGGAACGTATCTACGGCGTTATAGGGGGGTCGACTGTATTTTAATCTTAAAATGTTTTAAGTGTATTGTACTGTACATATTTTATATAATATTGCGTAATAGTGTATAATAAAAATAGAAAATGTTTCTTTAGCCAGTTTTTTCCAGTCATTCATTGATAGACAAAGGATATTCTTATAGCCTTCTGCACTGTTGGCTTGGAACAGGCTTATTAACTAGGTAAGAAAAATTTATGAAAGTTGTTTAAAATATTTAAAAAATAAAATGTTATAATTAAGTTTTCATACATAATAAAAGGTAATATAGGCTATANAGCAAATATTTAAATTAATAACATCGAAATGAATAGGTGCTTATGTGGATAAATGTATAAACATTGAATCTTGTTCAAAAGCAAGTTTATAGCGTTTAAATAAAATTAAATGTTCGAAAGTTTAATTGCAATGCAAAAAAATTAGAGTAGTTAGCTGAAATTTATAATAATTTGCTAACTATTAAGAAATAATATCAACTGTTGTAGGTCAATTATTCAATATTTTAATAGTATATTATACAATTATTTTATAATATAGGCGATGAATGATTATGGCATGAATGAAAGTTTGGCACACGAGCGGAGTGAGTGTTTCAATTTCCGTAAATACCATAATCGCTAATTATAAACGAATTGTCATACGGTATTTTATGGTTAGACTACACCTATAACACTACACTTATGGAATTCAAACTCATATATAAACAGTGTTTGCGACACCCGTACCATAAAGCCGTGCTATAACAATTTTTAATGCTCCCGCTTTATGGCACGGGTGTCGCAAACACTGTTTATACATGATTTTGAGTTCCATAAGTATAGTGTTATAGGTGTAGTCAACCACAAAAACATTTATTAAATTTTCTCAATTCACTTTATTCTTCAGATCACACATCTGAAAATTATTTTCTGTTTCTAAAACTAAAGGGAAATTTTACAATGTGGAAACAAATCATTCTAAACATAAATAAAATAAAATAATAAAATTTTGAAAGAACATTTTCAAAATTTGTTTTCAACATCGAAAGAATTAATTATATTTTATAGTAATGCAAGGCTATGATTTAAAAAAAATATTAATAACTATTTTAGTTTTATTATAATTAAAATTTGTCTTGATCGTTTCTGGAAATTAATAAAAGCACTTTACAATAAATTAAAACAATTTTAATCATTTCACAAAGTGTTTCAATGATATGCTAATTTATCTTGTTATATATTATTGCTTGATGATAAACTTTATATATTGGAGCTTCAATTTCTTACCATTTCAGATTCAACGTTTCCGCTTGTATTGACAATCAAAATGTTGATGTGGTTTTGCACTGCAATTATATTGGTCATCGTTTTATTAATTAAAAAGATTTTCGAGAACTACAAACTTAGAAAAGTATTATCAAAACTTCCAGGTCCGAAAACGAATAATGTTCTACTAGGTAATCTATCTATACTTTTGGGAAGAAGAAAAGAAATCAGTTTTCATGTCGGTAAGTAATCATCAATTTGAATTAGAATTTTAATAATTCTGTATATCTACTAGTATACATTTGAATTAATTTAGCGAGACTTTTCATGTTACTTTTTATAATAAAAAATATTATATTTTCTATTATACTTTATTTGAAAAATTGTATAGATATTTGTAATGTATAGATATTTAATTATAATGCTCATTGAATGTTGAATGTCATTAATAAAAATTTTATTTTGTTTTATTTACGATAACTTATCCCTGTATTGCAAAACACTAATTTAAACGAAAAAGCATTTAGGCACATTTGAACTACGTTTTTAATATGTAATATATTAATATATGTAACGTGAATTCTTGAAACACACAAACATATGACACAAAGACGTGAGGATAACTTAGTATAGCATTACTAAATCAATCTATTTATCTAACGATGTACTATATTAATCGTTAAGAATTACATGGCCTTATATAGAAATGTTTTTAAATTATTAAAGTAGGAATTGCAAGACACAAAATTAAAAATATTAGAATCTATTTTAAATAGCCTGTATTATACCTAATTGGTATAACATTATGTACCAAAGGAAAAGAATAAAAAATTCAAAAATTTTTAAAACAGAAATTTCAATTAAATGTTAAATGTAACAAGTGCTAATACTGTAATGTTAAGATGTAATGAACAATGAAAATATGTATATCAACAAATTTATTTTATTGATGACTTTCTTATTGTTGCTTCTTGACTAATCTTTATGAGAATTGACTTAGTCAATATTACTGTCATTGTACTAATTACATTAATAAGTCTCTGTTATTTGAATAATTTTAATATATAAAAATGTATAATAATCTCTTTAAAATCTGTCCCTTAGGAAACTTAAGGAGCTAATATAAGGTATATCCGATTAATAATAACTTTTTTATGCTTATATTAAGATTGATATAATAACAAATCATTAGGTTTTATAGAAAAATTATATCTAATACAGTACAATGATTTGCGTATTGCAGTGTTTTTCAACCTTCTTGAATACGCGTTCCTGGNTAGACTCGAAAAATTAAAAAAATTTTTGTAAATAGTCATAATTCAATTTTTTATTAAAATCTGATAAACAAATATATTTTAAAATGAAAATTTCAAATATATGAATTTATATTTTATACCAAATCAAATATGATATATTTTCACACGAAACACTTAAAATTATTTAATTGATAAAAATAAAGATTTTATTTTGGAAATAACGAAATTTTTCTTCTTTCAAAGTTTTGATAAAAAGAACCATTATACATTTTTTTTTTCAAATAGTATTTCAATCTGTCAAGAGAGAAACTGAAATTTTAAGAATTTACTGTTACAGTGAATTGCTCAGTATTTTCTTTAATAAATTTTATCTGTTATAAATTTCAGTGTTTTATTTATTAAAGTAATTGTATAATTTCTTAAATTTTCACTCTAATTTAGTACTGGAAATAAATGGAAAACCAGAAGAAAAATGATAACTCCAACTTTCCATTATCGAATATTAGATCAGTTTATTCCGATATTTGATAAAAATTCGAAGATCTTCGTTACAAATCTAAAAGAATATCTCGATAAAGAATGGATTGACGTTACACATCTCGTCAATCTCTGCACTTTAGATATCATTAGCGGTAAGAATTTATGAATCTAATATGATATTTCGTTTATAATCTGTATTTAATGTAAGTAATTAAATGCCAATATTTATCAAAACAGTTCATAATATATTTAATAAAAGCTTAGTTATATACCAAACATACGTACAGTTCCTGCTAAATTTATAAATTTAAAGAATTGTAAAATTGTAGAATTATAAATTCCAACTGTCGTCCGTCCGTCTGTCCGTCTTTCCTTAATCTCGAAAACGGAATTAGATAGATGCAATCCGTGACAAAAATGGAATGATTTGGTACAGCATGCCCCGAGTTACTATATATGAACTTCCGATGTAAAATGAAAGTCTCGTTATTTTAATTCAAAACCTTAATGTACCTTAATGTATGATGTACTGTACAGGAACAAGACACTACAGTAGTAATTTGAGGTAAAGAACATATATTTTAAATTAAATAAACTTAAAATATGATTAAAAAGTGCATCCCGGTATTGTAATTTGATTTTCGTACGCCAAATTCCATTTTTACACGTTTTTCGGCCTAAAAATTGACCTCATACAAACTTTTAGAAACTCATTACGTCTGAAACTCGCGAATTACCTTTATGTTGATCAGTCATGAAATATGTAATTTATAAATTATTTGATAATAAATGGATTATCGAGTTAATTTTATAATGAAATTTAAAAGTCCTAAAAAGTCTATAAGTAAATAAAGTATCTGCTAAATTGTCTTGATAACATGCTTAAAAAAATATAATTTTTCAAAAATCTCTCAATAAATAACCTCTATAGATATAGAATCTGCGGTTTTTACCATAATTTATCCATTACACTAATTTTTAATCATTATCAAATAAAATAATACAAATAAACGAAATTTCTAGTGTACACCTCACTGGAAGTGTCAAGCTCACTTCTCACTAGATTTACATCCATTACTAGCTACCTTTTCATTAAAACTGTTCCTACCAAATAAATGTTACTTACTTATTGAGACAATCCCATTGTGGGTCTAATCGAACCCAAAACTGGCTTGCTAAAAACTTCCTCTAGTACCAATAGGACAGAAAGAGCTTTAAATTTGGAAGAAAACCTCAATCCTGAACAAAACATAGTTATAATCGTATTTCCTTTTTTTTTTTGCTATTAACAGTCATGTGTAAACGGATTTCGTGTTACTATTTCGATAAGCTGCTGGAAAGTAGCCATTTTGACATTGCTTACTAAAGGATTACCAGTGTTTAGTGGTTTTAATTACTAAACCATTGGTCTTAATAGGATGCGCGAATACTCGAATACTACAAAATGTTCGAGATTCGAGATGGTTTTCTTTTTTGTCTCTGAATTAAGTTAAATGGAAAGATGGTCATCACTCTACTTATAAGTAATTCTATATTTTTAATTAGCCTTTTATCTTCTGATCTTTTATTTTCTGATGTATTTGTGATAAATTATTCATTTAAAAATCTGAATCTAAAACAGTATTGTTTATTTTAAGAAACTTAAAACTTAATTCAAACTAAATAAAACTTTCATTATAGAAACTGCAATGGGTATTGAAATGAAATCGCAAAATAAAAATAAAGGTTATTATCTCAATGCTTTGCAAGAGTAAGTATTGTTTATTGTACATTTTATAAATTATAATTATACAAAAAGTTTTTTTATTATTATAATTTACAAGTTTCTATAAACTGAAAAAAACTTAACATATTAATAAAAATTTAAGTTTGATGTTACGTATTGTAAAGAACGCAATAATTTTACTGAAATTTTTAGTTTTACAGATTAACCTAGGCATAATCAAATTCTATCGTACAACGCAATTGAATGCATAAATTTAATTTATAACAAATGACTTTATGATGTTCAGTATGATTAACATATTCTACAGCCACTTTCTAACCGAAACTAAATCGAAACAATGAACAGGAGTCACCTTTATCAATGAGCCACATTTACTTTCTTTTAAAAATTTCATATTTAGCATTGTTCACAATATGTATTTCGGCCTATACTACCTCTTCAGTTATTAAGTATACACATGTACAGTACTGTACTGTACATATTGAAGTATAAACTCATTTTAGAAATAGCGTCTATATAACGACTTCATAAATTTTTAACCTCTCAGATCGTCCATAAAACCACAAAAAATAACAGAAAAATAAAAAGCTTCATTTTTCTGTTAATTTTAAGGATTTTTAATTAATTTTTTTATTGAAAAATTGTAGACCTATAAATTCCTACTGCCGTTTGTCTGTCTGTCCGGCTTTCTTGAGGACGGAGTTAGATAGTTGAAATAGAAAAATATTGAAAAATTAGGAGCAGTAGGCTCAGATTTACTATATAGGAACTTTCGATGCAAACCGAAACTCACGTTATTTTAATTCAAAAATTTTCCCCTGAAAGGAGTTAGATAGAGCACCAGCATGACTCCATTCCTAACAGAAAAAGTATGATATACAGGTGTACAGGCCTAATTTGAGGTTGAAAGCATATAGTTTAAATTAAATAAATTTAAAATACGATTAAAAATTGCAGCCTGGCATTGTGACAATGTCACAATAAATAGTTGCTCATTATTAATCTATTTCTCAAACAATATAATAAAAAAAACAAATTGAAAAAATACTTTGGTCTGTCAACTATGAATATAAATTTTATGTCAATCTTTCTATTACTCAAATTCTCTTTCCACTTGACTAAGATTTGCAGTATTAATATATTTTTATAGTGTTTACAAAATATAATTAATATAAATTTGAAGTTACTTTTCCTGAATTATTAATTTATTTAAGATATACATATACTATAACAATAAGTAATGTTACTTTTTAAAGAAGACGAATATATGACAGTAATATTNAGATTTTGCGATATATTTATGGTTAGGTGTATGAAACCATGGCTTTACAGTGATTTTATCTTCTCCCATACATCAGATGGAAAAAAAATAAAGGAAGTTATATCAATTCTTCATGATTTTACTTCAAAAGTAAAAGCTTTAATATAATTTATGCTATTACTACTAAATTGTTTTCCAAATATAGCAATTAAATATATACATAATTATTCTTTGACTTTATAGTTTTAACATATTTTTGTAATTTGTTCTTCAATTCTCAAATAATACTGCATATAAAAGTAATAGAATAATTGAAGAATTTTCTCCCAAATAACATTTTATTTGGGCCTTGATAAAGATTTTCAGTTTAGTCTAAACAGCTGAATCAGAGTAGTTAAAAAAATAAATCTTTTCTGAAAGATTGCAATGTAGCGTTAACTTAAAACTGTTCCATTAAAGTATTTCAAGCTTTTTACGAAGATGATGACGTATCATCAAATTAATTTTTACTATAGAAAAGAAATATATTTTAATCTTCCATGCATTAGACGATGCCTTCGAATACATGGATTATTTTTCAGTTTCTAAGTCATACTGAAACACCCAAGCTTGTCACAATTAATTACATGTTTTAAGAGATTCTTATTAGTCAAAATATCTTTACAAACCAAAATACGTGAATACTTTTCGTTTGATGACATTTTTAGTACAGCTTTCTTACACACCTTAAAGTATAACCAAATACTATAAATATATACACGAAACAGACGTATGCTATTCTTTTGTGGCTTACGAGGAATATGACGTTTTGTGTGCTTCTTTTCGATTTGGATTTCATAGATGATTCATCACCCTGCAAACTGTGAATGAATTGACATCGTTTTTATCGTTTTTTGGAACTTGCAAGTTTTCAACTGCTAGAGAACGTAAGTGCACTTATTGTGAAGAGGATTAGAGAGAAAAAAATATGATTTTAAATTTCTCCTAATGAGACGACTTACTCAGGACTGCATAGAGAACTTGTTCTGTATTGTTAGCCTTAGAGGTAGTAACAATTACACCCAATTCTTTTTTTACACAGAAGATACGTTCATCGAAAAATCCGTGCAAAAAAGATACGATTTCTATAGTAAAATGGGAGATATGTATTATTAAAAAACCGTGTAAAATGAAATAAATAATTGTATTTCATTCAAAAAACCGTGTAAAAAAGTTTCGAAAATTTTATTCCAGTATAGATCTGTTTCGTCATCGTTGAAAATCTGTTCAGGAACATAGCCACCCTCTCTTATTATTTTTGCTAGTTTTTCTGGAAAGCTCTTGGCAGCGATTTTCATCTGCAGATGCAATTTACCCTTTAATTTTAATATTGTAAAATGCCCTTTACTTTTAATATTGTAAATTAGACATAAGACAAACTTGTAAACGAATCATATCTATCTTTTTATTCTTTATTAGCTAAACCCATGCACTTCACTCTTACAAAAAATTTATGAACTAATGATACTTCAAAAAGGAACTGATAGAATGATGCAATACTTGAAAATCTTTCGTGAACTAATAAATTACTTTTCATCAACTATCTTCCTTCCTTTTGTTTCCTTTGCTCATATTGGCGATAATTTTTATTTTATTTTTAATTTATTTATTTTATTAAACTTTAAAATCGTGTCAGAGTATTTCTTCGACTGTGTTATTTCAAAATCGAGTAAAATAAGAAGTTACCGGTAGGTGTAAAACCCTGATGCAAGTGAATTTCGGACAGTCACGAAAACCATCATGACATCACGATGAATCACTTGTTGCAGGCATTTCGCCATCGCATGCATGCAACTGTGAGACAGCCCTTGATAACTTCATGACATACAAGGATCAGATGGAACGGATAAAGCCGTGTCTGATAGTTAACTTAAGCTCGTTATCAGCAACAAGAAAACAGGTATCTATGGAAATGTTTAAGGATTAATCCTTGGATGGCCAAAATACAAAGAGCTGTATTGCTGGTTGGGCAGCTATCAGAATACCTCATGCACGATGCAAAGAGCATTTGGAGTACAGTACTAAGAACCTTTGGGTGATTCTCGAGATATTCTCCTGGAAATGAAGCGCTATTAAAATACCATAATGTTAGGCCCCTCTGGGTTGGCAGGAAATTTTAGGTACTACCAGTGAGATGCTTTCACATCAAAATTTAATATTATTATTAAACAGAGTAAACAAAATGTTAGGACATGTTTACTACTATATGTATGTGTTCTGAAGCATGTAGAAGTTTGCGAATAATGTGTAATCGCGTTTGCAACAGAATATATGTGCACTTATTAATGGCAAGGAAAAACCTGCAAATGAACTGTTACGAAACAAAGTTCCAGGTAAACAAAACAAAAAGACAAAAGAAGTGTTACATAGATAAATGAAAGAAAATCATATATTGTATCATGTTTATTTTGTTGTATTACTGTATTAAATAAACATATAATATTTACAATTTATTAACATTGTATGAAAAGGTTGTACAGGAATGAGTATGCCAAAATTTCTTCAGAATGTAGACTTCTATAGAGTCAAAACAATCAAACCAGATAAACAATAACATTGGAAAGTATCAATAGTCTTGGAAAGTAAAATATGAGTAACAAAGAGCATTAATTTGGCACCTTTTAAGTTTCTAAAAAGTTTCTGTTTGGCATTAGGTTACATCAATTAATTGTCATCTGCAGATGTATTATAAATTTATATATTAAGTTTAACATTATTATGTTGAGAAGATAAAAACCGCTACGCTACTTCACGCTTATAATTTATTTCTCATACTCGTATGCCTATTTCGGATTTGACTACTTTTATGAAATAAATTAAAATAAGTATTCTTTCTAAAATTTAATAGAATAAATTTTATTGTTTGTTTATATAATAATAAAAAATTTAATTTTTTTGCCAAAATAAATGAAACAATTGATTATGATATATAAAGATATTAAAACAAAGAAAGGAAGAGCTAAAAAAAGAGAAGACACGTGAGAAGAATTGTTCAGAAATTTGTGAAGACAAAAGAAAGGAACCTCTTCTCAATACTTTAATTAAATATCAATTTGAAAACTGCAATTTTACTGACAAAGATATATGCGAAGAATTGGACACTTTCTTGTTTGAGGTAGGTCTAATTTATATTTTAATAAATTCATCACTAAAGTACTTCGTTAATGACTATTTATTTTAAAAATTTCGGCAAGTGGTTCAAAGATTTTTAAATTCTGTGTACTGAATTTATAAAACACTAAATCAGTTATAAAATCACACAGATTGACACCGATGTTATTTGAAAAATATCAATAGTTAAAATATCAAATATATAGAAAAATATCAAATATCAACAGAAATGTCATGATACTTATTGCCGTTCGAAAATAAAATAAAATTCATCTTTTATCCGAATTTCTTACTAAATATAAAACATACATTAGGAGCTAAATTTTAAAAATTCTAAGTTTTGAAACATATCCTCACGAATATGTAAATGTATTTCATAAATTAAAATACATTAATAAATTAATTTTAAAAAATTGTACATATTTCCAAATTTAAATTAATTTTTGTAATTTATATATGAATTATTTATTTAATTACCAATATTTAATAGCATTTAAAATTACTAAACAAAATTTTTTTTGACAGGGTCATGACACGACTTCAGTAGGTATATGTTGGGTTCTTTATTATTTAGGACTTTATCCAAATATCCAACAAAAAGTATATGAAGAGTTGTTACAAATATTTGGTGGTGATAAAGATAGACCAATTACTACGCAGGATATTAAAGATATGAAGTACTTGGAGTGTGTTTTAAAGGTTAATAAATTTACAATATTTTAAAAATAAAAATAATTGCAATTTTTAAAATAACATATCTTGAAAATAATTAAGGTCTCTAAAGGAAGGAAGTATATTCGTTGTTTTTTTTAATTGAAATAACATAAATGCTATATTGAATTTATTTCTTAACAAATTGGCGGGAATTTTTTGAATAAATAGAAGGAAATGTTACAAAAGTACAAATGTATTAAAACATATCAAACATATCTTAGGAATCACAGCGGCTTTCACCTTCAGTACCAACAATCACACGTTCTTGTACTGAAGATATCAAAATCAGTAAGTTAAATTATGAAAATAAAAACTTCTTATTAAATTATTTATTTATTTATTTATTTATTTTGTAGATGGTTATACTATTCCGCGAGGAACTACTCTTAATCTATTTATTTATGCATTGCATCGTGACTCGAAAAATTTTCCAAATCCAGAAATATTTGATCCAGATAGATTTCTTGCAGAAAATTGCATTGGAAGACACCCATTTGCATTTTGTCCATTCTCGGCTGGCTCACGCAATTGCATTGGTAAAAATTAGTCTACGTCACTCTAGAATTTAAATTTATTTCGATATAAATATTTTTCGAATAATAAAATTTAACTTTTTAGGCCAGAAGTATGCTCTGATAGAATTGAAGGCAGTAATAAGCCGAGTGATTATGAATTATCGGATTACATCAATAGATCCTCCAGACAAGATTACCTATAATTTTTTGTTGGTTCTTAGACCGATGGAAGGTTTTCGATTGAAAATAAGACCTAGAGAGTAATTTCTGTCAGTTTAATTGTTGTAATAATTGAAATTACTTGTTCGGTGGAAAATTTTTAATTTTTATTAAATCATATTGAATCATATATTATATATATAATTTATGATAATATCATGTATGATGAAATATTAATATTTCGAAATCAAATAATTCATATACAGTGAAAGGCGACCACCTGCATTCGACGGGCACATGTCAAAACGGGCAAAAATTTCTGGCACGGAATAGTTTATTCATAGAGTCTTCGTATAAGTTACCTGTATTAAACGACCACCTGTGTAACGCGACCGCGGGCATCGATTTTTGGTCCGAAACAACATACAACACCTGTAATAAGCGACCACTTTCGCGAATGTATCTGGTCTAAACTATAGTAAGATCCCATCTCAACAACGTTTCCACCTCCTAATATGATGAATTAGTTTAAACTCTCGTTCGAACCCATCCCGTGCACTTCTCCCACCCTTGAAATTAGTTGCAGATATTAATAAATTAGTCTAGCAACAAAGGAAATTCATTTCAGTTTGTTGGAAAATGTCCGAAATGCAAAGTGCTGTCGTTAGAAGATCGTATTAAAGTTATCACAACAGCAATTAGCGGCGAAGTTTAACTGTGGGAAAACAAAATTTATTTTACCCTAGACCTACAGTATTTTCCTTGGGGGTGTAAAATATTGTACACGATACAATTAATCGGCTGATCTCATCGTTTGATAAAATCTATTTTTATTTATTTATTTTGAAGCTCATATACAGTACACGTGCGATAAATAGTTTCTGTATCAACCTACCTTATTTCCACGATATTTTTAGAAAAATAATATCCAAGTAATTTTCGCAGGCAAAATATTCAAAAAACAATAAACGCATTAATGCAAAAATCAGTTTTACTTCCTTTTTCGATTCCGCGATTGTAATGAAATCGTATAATGAGAAAAAATAATAAAATCGTTTCATTATTAATTAATAATTTTTCTTATTGTACTTAATTAATTAAGAAAATATTAAATATTAAAAAATACAATATTTTTAAAGTTAAAATAAGATTAAACTAACGAAAAGCAAAGTGATGGAGAGATACGACGCGCTTATATATTGGTGACGTAATACACGTAACTGAGGAGCGAACGAAAAGAACCGAGTCGAATTAATTAAGTCGGAAAAGAGAAAGTGTGCATTATAATGGAGAAAATGCGAGTATTGTATTAATCTTTAAAGTATTGGTGTTAAATCTGTCTTATAATATGACGACTCCTGTATGTCGGGACTCCTGTAAGAATAAAATACAATACAATATAGCCCTATCGTTGAAAAAATTCGCTTACTTTTGTTCACCTCGAGTTTTGCTTAGTAGAAATGGCTAAAAAGTGCGCAAAATACGTACGGAAATACGGTATTACAGTACTACCTGTATTGGACGACCACCTGTCTAAAAGACCACTTTTTGAAGGAACCGTGGGTGGTCGCTATAGACAGGTTTTACTGTACTCGTATTATTTGAAAAATGATTATATTTCATATATATAAGATATTCATAAATTTTTGAATTGATATTACATTACAATAAATAATATATTCAATATGTTGTCCCTCGTAAACTTGCATTGTTCAATATACTAAGCAAAATTTCAATGAACGTAGTACAGTAACGATGGCAAACAAAATAATAAAATACATTTCTAGACTTTTTAGCCATTATATATGAAATATAATAGATTGATTTTATAACTCGTAAAAATAGTGTGTCATTCAATATTAATTTTTAAATACTCCGAAAATAATAAAATAGATTAAAAAATTAATTGTAAATAACATCTACCTGTATGTACTAATTTAACTGTATGTAAACATATTTTGCCATAAACTAACTTGATAGTCATTTAAGTTTGATTATCACGTTGTGATACGTTGCTGTTTAGATTATCAGATTACAGCTGTCCCTTGATAGGAAGGATAAAAGAGGAACCCAAGATTTTTACACTTTTGTACTCAAAGAATCTTGAAACACAAAAAAGTTAGTGGGTTTTTTCTGTATATATACGGATGTTAGTGTGTGTCTATGTGATGGGCACGATTTTTTCATACATATTTGAAGTTGTATAACTCCTGTGCTTCTTGCCGAAATGTTCTGAAAGTTTGCATAGAAGTTCATGTATTAGAGGGAAATGTTTCTAGAAATTTTCAGGAAAAACGGACAATTGGTTCGGGAGATATTAAGAGGATCGGAACCAAATCTCGTGCAAATTTTTAGTTTAACAAAATATAAATGTAATTTTTTCGAAAATTTTTCTCAGAATCTCTTCCACTCTCAATATTAACGGATTTTGATCTTTTATAAAACTTCTGATATAATAAATCAATTCAGTTCTAACTTTTTCAATGAGTATATATTAATAAAATAGTTTTAAGAAATCGATATTTCCTTAGCCCCAACTCTAGGTCCGAGATGAAAATACATTTTAAAAAACTATTTTTTAAATGAAATTCTTTGGGATAAATATTTTTTTGTGTTATTGACCATAATTTTCATTGAAATTGTACCAGAATAGCTTTATATGTTGAAGAGGTGAGGAGTGTAATATTCTTAAAATAGTTAAATCACCTCTATTTTACGAGTGATCATTAAGATATTCTATTATATATCATTTGAGAAAAATATTAAAAAAGGAAAAAGAACATTTCGCTATGATGAAAAAATTAAAAAACTAAAATATAAATTTACTAAATTCAAATACGGATATGTCACCAGAATGGTGTATACGATTGTAGATGGATTGTCATGGAAATACAGTACACTATGTTGTAGAACAGCAGTTGTAAATTTAAAAACAAATATAAAAATATTGTTGCTTTTTGTAATTTTCGGTTTTTTGAGATATTTATTTGTTTATAGGCCAAACTTTGTCGTATGAATTTACTGATGAGGATCGGAAGAACAAAATGCATATGAGAAAAATAAAGAAAATAACAAACAGTAATGGTTTTAAAGTTTTTTTAATACTACTTTATCGATCTTAGCGTTTCAACTCGGACGAAGAGTTAAGAAACTACAAGAGATAACTAAGAATTTTATCAAATTTATAAATTTTTAGTATAATTTTAGAATTAAATACCTAACTTTTTGGTGATTATAAAAAGTTGAGAGTAATTACTCTTAATCTTCTTAAATAGATTTAATATAATTAAATTGGAAACCATAGAAAAGAGGTGAAATTGAAAAACTGTACTCGTTATTGGCATGTACAATATTTAAAAAATTTCATCTCTACCCTCAAATTTAAGTCTTTTTTTTTGCCTATTTTATAATAATAATATGAGATGTTATTTAAAAAATAACTTACAACAAATGCAACCAACCACAATTTTAACTTTCAGCTGGTGTCATAAGTGTTTAAATATTTTTTACTTGAAAATATTTTATAATTATAATTGAACAAAATTACTTCTTTTATGTTTTTGTTTATTTAAATTTTATATCCCATCATAATTGACAATTATCAGACTTCCTTATGGTCTTAGCCTCCTGTTCGAGTTCCGAGAAAGTCGAGTAAGAGCCCTTGCCAGCTTTTTATTTAATACTATTATAAGTTTAATATAGACTGTATCAATAAAATAAAACAGAAATTTAATTAACTTGTCAAAAGAAACTATTCTATAATGAAAAAAAAAATTTTACGGCATATAAGACGCAATCTATTTCAACAGAGAGTATTTTGGGGAAAAAATATTTAATGTATTGACGCCATCCCCAAAATAAGGTAACTGTGACACAAGATATGACATAAATAGTAACAAGTATAAGTGTGGAAAAAAGGTTACCGCTTAACTTTGAATCGCTGGATGCGTATGAAGATTGATTGATAATCATCTTCCGTTATCTAAGTGTTTGCAATAATTCCGTTTTAAATTATTAAAATTAGTAATACTACTACAATAATAATAATATGTTTAGTTAAACAATAACATACTTACTCAAGAGTTGGGCTAACAAATAAATAGAGATTACACTGTAGCCTATGAAAGATATTTGGGGAATTCATTTACCTCTAGAGATCGTAACTTTACATATAACAGGCAGAGGAATTTTTTAAAACTTTTTTGGACAAAAGTTGCATTTACGACTTACGGTATATTTGTAAATAATGAAAAAAACGCATAGAGAATTGAGTGTTAGTATATTAAATTTTATGTTTAGTGCTTAAGTTTGACATTCATTCTGTTGTTGTTTTAATTATATTGTTAGTTTGATTATTGATTTCTGAAACTCCCCAGAAATGAGTGAATATTTAAATTATAATTTTAAAATGTTTTCATTAAATTAATATAAAGATCATTCTTAATTACTACTTTTTCTCTATATAATTACAGTAGTTTATGATTACCTGATAGATTTTTTAGTGAAATGGCAGGTATAATGTTTTACATTGTTTATACTTTATACTTAAAATGTGTTTTTTATATACAAAGTGAGTTTTTTATCTTGAGACAATGAAATAACTTAATTGGATCTCATATTTCGAAAAAAGGTTTAGATAAAAGTTGTAGGGTTTCAAAGGGACAATCAACTGATGACCTTGAATGTGACCTTGATCTTGACCTTCAAGGTCATTTGAAAGTCAAGTCTGTTTTTTCAATCAGAATACACATTTTTGACCCGGGCAATGGAAAGAGCGGGAAATTTTACAATCAGCCATGACCTTGAGTACCCCGAATTTGACCTCTAAAGGTCATCTCAAGCTCGATAATTTTAAGCGTGGCTCAACAAATTCATTATAAAAATTTTTCCTCAAAATCAATCTCAAGAAACGGTAAGTAAAGTGACTCTCCGAAAACAAGCACCCCAATGGTGAGAGGCAAGGGGACTCACGGAAAACAGCACCTCAAAGGGAGCAGAAACTACTATGTCCACATCGTTACTCCTGGGGAGTGCTAAAAGTAGTGAATGCTTTGAAAGGTCAGAAGAAATAAGGTTGTGAAAAAATGTGAATTTACCTCCCTGTCTATTTTAGTAATAAAAAGTATGGCTTCCATTAGAAAAAGCTATTAATTT